ATATGTGTGTGTGTGTAAGAAAAATAAAAGTACGTGAGAAAAAGAGAGAAAGAAAATAAGAGATAAAGTTTACCATGCACGTGTTTGCATGTGAGAAAGTTAGACTAAAATACATGGAGCTTAAGGGATGAGAGTGGGGGGGGGGTGGAAGAAGGTTTGCGTATTTTTTTGATTCGTAGAATACGTATGACTTTTCTAAAGTATTCACTTGTGTCAGGATTGAAAGAAATAAATCACGCGAGTCATAGTGGTACTGGTGCTAGTAGTGGTGGTGTTAGTGATGATAGTGATGATGGTGGTGTGATGGTGGTGGTACGCGTTGCCTCGGTGCAAATGCTTTTAGCCGATAATAATGACGATCCTACGAAAATCGAGTTCTACTTTATTATTCGCACTTGGAACACGCTCGATACGTTATTACGAAGTTAATCGCGTTTCGACCTACATATCACGCTCATTGCATATTCTCTCACTCGCACTATTAGTCTTTTACACTCTCTATCTCTATCTCTCTTTTCTTTTTTCTTTTTTTTTTTTTTTCTTTTTTTTCTATCTCTCTATCTCTTTTTCTCTTCTCTTCATCATTTTTATCTCGCTAAATTAAAATAATATATATATGTATATGTATGTATGTTACAGAGGAGTGTAAAACAGCACACAGGATGACCTTTTAGTCGCAGTAATTAACGATAGGGGAAAAGTAATTTTTAGGAAAAGGGCTCCATTTTTGTTTGAGATGAGTTAGAAAAAGAGAAATAGAGATGGAAGAACGATATCGAGCACTCTTTTATAAATGAAAACTATGAAATGAAAAAAAGAAATCTTCTCTTTTTTTATCACCGGCGCCCTTCCCCCTTCCCCCCCCCCCGCCCCACACACACACAGACACATATATACACCCGTACCCGTCACCCGGATTAACTTCATTTATCGTGATTTTATATAGAATCCGATTTGACGGGTAACATCGAACTTTTGTGTACTTCTTTCATTCTTCAAAGTGTGACATCATATCGTTGAAAATATTTAATTATCCCTTTTTTTTTTGTCGAACGATATAAAAACGTTATCGAGTTACACGCTTAATACGTAAAATATAAAAAGACTATAAAGTATTATTTTTCTTTCGAATTAACATCACAATTATTTATTCAAATATCTCAAATATTCGACAGTTTAAAAAATGAGCGCGTATTTAAATAATTAAAAAAGAAAAAGGAAGAAATAATTATAAGAATAATTATTAACAATTATTTAACAATTTAACAACAACAATAACAACAACAAAGCGTATAATTTCGACATTTAAATATAATAAGAATAATACGTATGACCTAATGTAATTTCTCATGCAATTCTAAATTCTATACGCGTCACCGTACTTAGAATCATCGTTGTGTTAGCTTGGTGACTGCAATTTCGTTGCGGGCACGAAACGTTGTCCATTACGACTTTCGAGGGAAGATGAGAGTTTATGGGTAATTCTCCCCACTATCTTTCTATCTCTATTTGTCTATCTATCTATCTATCTCTATCTCTCCTTTACAAGAGACCAATGACGGTACCATTCACGTACGTGACAGTGGCTCTTAATGCCGATGAATCTCTCCCGAAAGCCGACACACCCCATACCCAATACAAACTCATATCCATGAATTCTACATAACACATAATATATATATATGGTGTCCTATAAATGTCAATTTAATAATTAATAAGATTAAATGAATAAATACAATTACAACATTGATAATAATTTCATATTAACGCGTACGCGTTTATATTCAATATTAATATTGTTAAAGAAAAATATTACTATCCTACTTTTCTCTTTTATTTAATATATTTGAACAATAAACATGAATTATTGATCATACTTATTAATAAATTACAATCGAACTTTTAGATATTCGAATTAACGGATAATCTTTATTGTTTCGATGAAAGTATATTTTTCGATTCGGTAATCCTAACTTTTTGAATCACCCAATACGTGTGAGTAAATTCGTATATAAATGTATGATATTACTAATACTATGATAACAAATTATACCTTTCTCCTTTTGCTGTCTCTTTCTTTTATTCCCAAGAGAGAAAGAGAGGAATACACGTGTCATTATTTTCGCGCGACTATTTTCGTAAGGTCGCAAAACTGGTAGGACACGTGCGACACGTCTACGTTAGTAAAACGTGCCACCATAGCTATGTTTTTTCTTCCCCTTTACCCCCTTCCTCTACCCCCCCCCTCCTTCCGCACCTCTTTAACCGTATTTTAGAGAACAGGAAAATATTTCTAACTCGCGTACGTTTGTTTTCTTTTAAATGATCCTAAAATAACTATCGTCAAGTCAAATCCCTTTCTTATTTTTGGTTTATGATTTCGTTTTGCTCGAGTAAAAGCTCGAACCTTATGAGGTAACGTAAACGATCCCTTATGGTTTTCTACATTTTTGTGTGTCACTTCTCATTTTACATCATTTACCATTCCCCCTAAATCCTTTCTTTCGGATAGTTTTTTGATTTTTTGTTGGTTCTGTTCGTCATCTTGATATTCGAAGTTTTATATTTAAATCGTAACGAATTAAATTTAATAAGTGTAGGATATTATAATCGTTTATTTTTTTTTTGTAAAAGAACTTAACATAGATTTGCGAAAAGCATTTAATTAACGACGCTCGATACGTTATCGTTTTCGCAAATTCAATTGAGCTGAAACCATTTGTTACGGGATTAAATTGAAATTCCATAACAACGCGTACGGATACGCGAATATTGTCCGTTCGTTAAAAGCGATTCTCGAAAGAAATTTCAAGCTGCTCAAGTTTGGATTTTGTACTACAATCAAACTCTCGTGTAGCATCGTAATCAACTATCAAAGTACAAAGGAAAAAAAACAAAAGAAAAGAAAAAGAAATTAAAAGTAGCTGAAAGTAAAAAAAATATATATTCCGATAAATTTTTAACGCTAAACCTAAATCAAACGATTGCGTACTGCAATTTGTAAACATGTGATAATTCGTAAAAATTCTACAGTTTGTAAAAAATATTTAAATTGTATTTTCTTCACTATTTCAATTTTGGCTAAAATAATTCCAATTGATAGAAATAAGGTATACACGAATTTTAGTATTAAATTTCTTGCATTAGGTTTTTCCACAATCGTAAACAATTCTTCCGTAAATACAAACGTCGAACTTAAGAACGAAAGAAAGGAAAGCTTTAAAGAAAATTCAAGAGAACGATTATTCACCGGTGTCGTACCGTAAATATCGAAAAAAAAAATGGAAACATTAATAAAATAGAAGAAAAATAATAATAAAAAGGAACTCGGAGGCATAACACGTCTCGATTTACGCGTTTGCGATCGATGGGACGTTGACTGGTCAACGAAAAAAAAAATAATATATATATATAAATTATATATATATATATATGATATATAAAATAAAACTAAAAATAAAAATAATAAAAAAAAGAACACAAAAAAGAGGGGCTCAACGAGTTGTACGTGACTTTCCGTCGAAATTCTACCATACGAATAAACCATCTCGTGCCGTAAAATCAGACCGAACAGAGGATACCCCCCCCCCTCGCCCTCCCCCGCGTTCGACACAACTTGATCATTCAATAAAAAAAACGTGTCTCGATCGCATGACATCAGAATTCAAAATCGATAGAAAATAAAAACAATATTCCCGGTTAAATATATATATTTTTAACGATTTTCTTTTGACTCTTATGGTATTATCTTTTGTTAAATCTATCTAATTGTATATTATATTCATATTTTGTTTAAAATAAATATAATTATTATTCGAAAGAGAATGATACGATATTGTTCGAGGTATTTTAATATTCGTAATGCATCGTATTAAAAATTAAAATTATTCTGTTGCAACATCTTTCACTTTTTATTCTTCGAGAGAGAGAGAGAGAGAGAGAAAGAGAGAAGGATAAAAATAAATTAATATCTGGATAAATATTTCTACTGATTAAATAAAATCTAATTGTATAGTCACTTTCAAAATAAATATTTTAATGTTAATCTTTATAATTATAATTGAAAAAATTTGAATATTGACAAGCTGTTGTTGGATTAAAACAATTAATTCCGATATCATATCTTCAACATCTGCCTCATAAAAGAAAAGAAAATTGAACAATATATTAGAGTGATTTTAAATATCATAATTTAATATCAATCATAATGACGATTATCAAAATTTAATACGACTATTTTCATTAATTTTTATCATCGAAATGTGATGTAGAAAAATATAAACAATCCTAGTATTTCATCTTCCATTTCAACTATTTATTGAAAGAAAACATAATTACAAAAATATAATAAATAAATCAATATAAAAATTACAATAATAATAATCAAATAACTATATGCAAATATCACATTAGATTGTTCTAATAAAATAATTAAAAACAACAAATAATCCTATGGTGTAACACAGAAACCCCAATAAAAATGTAGTCCAATAAAAGGAATGAGATACGAATAAAAAAAAAAGAACTCAAACAACGAAGATACATCGTTGCTCGCGTTGCTAGAGTAAAAGAATAAAAAATGAGAAAGAGAAAGAAAGAAAGAAAGAAGGAAGGAAGGAAAGAAAGAAAGAAAGAAAGGGAAACAAATAACAATAACAAAGAGAAAAAAAAGAGAAATCAAAAAGAAAGGAAAACACAGGAAGGGTTAGCGAGAGTGGGTCGTGTTTATACCCGGCGGATACCTTGGGTGCATCGTTCGCCCCGGTCAAACGTTGGGCGTGGTGGGGAGATCAAAGGGGGTAGAAGGTAGGGGTGGGGGGAGAGAGAAGACTCGACAGAATTCGACTGGCCACAGCCTATCGAGCTAAATCAACCCCTACCTATAACCATTCTATTAACATTTTTTTTCTCATTTAATCTTAATTAATTGACAACAATAGCTAGTTATCATTATCAAACAAAAATATTGTAAATTAGAAAAAAAATAATAGAAATCTCACCTGATTGGTACATCTACGATGGTCTATGCCTAGATCTCGAACAGTTGGCTCTATCATTGCACAAGAGAGCACTGCACGAACACTCTTTTTTTTTTATTTTTTTAATTTAAATCACCATCATTCGATGCCCACTGAGATCCTTTAAGGGTTTTTCCTTCCTCCTCTTCAATTTTCTTCCCAAATTCCTTAGTTATCGTTTACGTTAGTCTTTTAAATATATATTTACAATCTTTCGATTATATCTTTATGTCATAGATCTTTCATATATTTAATAGGAGAGTAATACTTTGTGTGTTGCACTATTCACAATCTGTCCTTCGAGTATCCAACAAGGACGATCTAACGTGTGATTGAAGTAACAACACCGGCACCGGTACACACACGTTTAAAAAATTCGAGAAATAAAGTAAACCCTCCTTTTAAACTTTCCACCCCTTTCCGGTTAAATATCGTTATTTATCTTCTTATTATTCTATATATTATAGAGAAAAAATCAAAGGTAAATCTAACGAACGAATATATATACATACAAATATAAAGAAACAGAAAGGTACAGGAAAGGGGGTTGAAAAGAAAATGTTAAAATAATGAAAACAAAGTTTAGCAAATCTCGAAATAATACGAGCTAGTAGAAGGATCGAAGTAGTTCATGAGTAGTACACTGTTAAAGGGATGATGTATAACAGGAAAAGGAAACCGAATTTTGTATTTTTCGTTTGTAATAAGAGTGGATAACGAGAGAGATAGTCTCGACGACTGCACCCAGTTCTATCTAGAGAAAATCATGGGGTGGGAGGATGGTCATCACCAATACTAAGTAAAGATAGATTAAAAAGATATTTAGAAAAAAAAAAAAGATACGTATAGGTAAACGCGTTGATATAAAGAATTGTATAGTAAGAAATAGAAGAAAACAATAAACTGAATGATACACCTACTTGTATACAATTATCGTAAAATCAGGATAGTAATAGGATAAAATATTTGTGTCCAGTGTCAGAGATAAAAATATTTATAGAAAGAGATAAAGACATATATATAAAGATAAAAAATTAGAAAGAGAAAGACAAACGAGATGTGTGTGTGTGTATGTGTGTGATGAAGATGGTGACAAAACTTCAATAGATACGGCACGAAATAGAAGTTCGCGGATCGGGAGCTGGCACTGCACTGACTCCGACCTCCTCGTTCGACCCGAGTCCGCGGCACTTACTCTCGTTCGGCGCATGCGTGTTTCAACATGGCGACCTTTGCGCCGTCGTCCTAGCCGTCGTCGTCGACGTCGTCGTAGACGTTGTCGTAGACGTCGTCGTTGTCGTCGTCGTCGTCTTCTTCATCATCATCCTCGTCATCGTTGTCATCAGTTTCTCGTCATTGTCATCGTCATCCCATCAGTTATCATTCTATTTGATATAATACTAGTCCGTGGTAGTAGCCAATCTTTGTAACCATCACGTCTTCTTCTCTTCTTATAACTCATCATCATCTTCCTCGCTCCTTCGTTCGTTCGATCATTCAATTGTTTTTTCAATTATTTTTCTTTATCCATACTCCTTATGGTTTTTCCATACCCTTTCTTCTAACCCTTCTCGTATTTCTTTAACCACCTTCCGACACCCCCTTACAATCCTCTACACACCTAGATTTTTTTTCTTTTCTTTTTCTAATTTTCTAGATTCTTTTATCTTACTCTATTTTTGTTCTATCTTTTCTATCTATGTGTATCTTCTTTTATCATTTTCTCTCTATCTTCCTTATTCCATGGAATACTTCGCTTAACGGCGAAACGAGAACGCACGCACGCGCGAGTTTCATCCCCTAAATCGCCCCCGTTCTTCTCTCTGGTGGTCCTTCCGCCCCACCCCTTTTCGCTCTTTCCATTCTCCCCTCTTTCTCTCTCTCTCACTCTATCTCTTTTTGTATATATATGTGTATATATCCCATAGTACGGAAAACACGGACGTTGGCATGTGCAGAGAATATGATGGAGAGGATCGAGAGATTCGCCAGAGTCAAACGATCTGCTTCGACTTCCCTAACAAATACAATCCTATAGGGTGATTCTTGTTCTCTGAGATTCTGATTTCAGACTCTGTTTTTTCTATTTATTTTTCATCCGTTCAAAGTTCGTTAAGTGTTTTTAATGAGTTGTGGTTTAATTTACGTTCGGTGTTTTGTTGATTTTTGTGTTACGCGGTAACATTTGTAGTATTTATCTGTTAATAATTAAAATGTATGAGATGGATATATAAAGTTGTTTTCAAGTAAAATTATAAATTGTTTTAATTGAATCCGTAGAAATTTCTAAATGACTTTTTAATCTAAGAATTTTTTTACGATTTGTTTAAATAATTGTTTGATCTATGAAATGATTTTTTAACATTTCTCAATATTTTTTATAATGTCATACTTTAAATATTATTGCTTATAGTTTGATGCTGTATAAATATTTATAAACATAATTTTTCGATAATTGCATCGATATACTTTTGAAAAATATTTCTAAATATTTTATGCGAAAACGTTCGATATGTTAACCCTTTGAGTGCTATGGGCGCATATACGCGTTCAACGAAAGCAATCCGCGGAAACTAAGGATGCATATATGCGCTTATCAATTTTTTTCAATCTTCCTTGACTCGAAATTCATTTCCTTTTATTCCTATATTTTATCAAAATAGTTAAACATTAACAAAAAAATTAATCCGTTAATTGTTAGGCGAGCTTCGTATTTAAAGGGTTAAAAAATATTTCTAAATATCCAAAAAAAATGTTCGATCAATTTAATAATCAAACAAATAAATATTATTTCTAATATTACAATAATGTTATCTAATATAGAAATTGAGATAATTTAAAGTTTTGTAGTAGAACGAAGAAGAAAAAGTAGAGAAAGAAGAGAAAGAGAAGAAAAAAATGGTAAAAATTAACGCTTTACGGGAATAGATGGACGATAAAAATGATTGAAATATGCGAAGAAAAAAGGGTTGAATTTTCTGGTACCGACGAAAAGGCAAATTATCTTTAGTCGTCGTATCCTTTTTGTGATTCGTTGATGCGACAATGCGGAGAACGGTACTTCTTATTTCTGTTAGGAGCCGTTGTTGGCTTACAAACGTTGCACAGCCAAATCGTGGGTCTTCCAACAAATTTGGCATCGATTCAGAAATTCGCGGGTGGATGAACGTTCGACTTTCTCTCTTTCTCTCTCTTTCTATCTTTATTTTTTTTTTGCTTTTAGATGCATTCGGTCTTTCGGTGTATACGAATGCGGACATTCGATTCGTCTTTGTATAACAGGAATGATATTATGCAATGATTTTACGATTTAGAATTTTATAATCGTTTTACAAAAGATATAAAAGTTAACACGAATAAATAATATCACTATTATTTAAATATAATATATAAATATTGCAACTTATTTATCCTAATTTTATTATATTATTTATTCTATATAGATCGTATCGCGAAATGATTTCTAATATTTTATAAATGTTTCATACAATGTGTCCTGTTTTTTTGAGATATATTGTTTTATAATAATTAAACAATTATTCTACTTATTATTTCATACGATACGAAATTAGAAACTAAAGATATCAATTTTATTAAGGATTAGTCAAATGATTCATATTAAAATATTATCATTAAATGTTATTACTTTTTATACAATTCAATTATAATATAACTAATGTGTGTTATTTTATTATTATAAAAAAGAAAAATATTTTAATTTATTATTTAAATCAAAATTATCACATATTATTGCATTGTAAAAAAATATATATAATAATATATGACAAATAAATAAAAAAATATTAAAACAAACATCTATCTTCATCATGTCGAAAAAAAGGAAAAACATAAAAAAAAACCCCAAGAAAATGTATAGACTCAAACGGATGATATTAATCCTGTTCATTCGACATCAACGACTGACGAAATTTCAATAAAGCCTTCAAATTCCTCCTAACTAAGAAGATGCGAGTAAAGTTTAAGTTCGTCGACTCATAGCTTTGCCTTTAACCGCTCAAACGTTGCTCGAACTTCGAAGACTGGCTGTACAGACAGCCACACATACACACAGACTAAGAGAGAGAGAGAGAGAGAGAGAGAGAGAGAACGACAAGCGTAATCCTTAATTGGTTGGCGTGATTCAGTCGGTTCATTCATCTAACTAAAGCATCCTCGCCTTAGGCGAGTGAACAGCATGTGGTGGTCACATCTCCTTTTCTCACCCTTCCTCCTCCTTATTCACACAAACACATACATACATACATATAGATATAATATATATATAGATACAAACACATAGGTTATATATATTACCTATCTCATTTCCCCCACTCTATTTCTCTTTCTCCCACTCTCTTTCTCTTTCTCTTTGTCTCTCTCTCTCTCTCTTTCTCTTTCTCTCTGACCCTATCTCTGTCTTTCTCTTTTACAAGCGTAAAGAGAAATATTGCCAAAGGCATGTTGCACGGTAGCTGGTTCTCGTTCGTACGTCGTTATAACGTGGGATCAGATAAACAAACGTGGACTTAACTCCGACTGACATAATCGTTCGCACGAGACCAAGATAGAAGAACAAGAATAAGAAGAATTCAGATAAGAATAAGATGAATAATAATAATAAGAAGAAGAAGATGATGAAGAGGATTGTTAGATTAAGAGAAGAGTATTACGGATCAGTGACGGATCGAGTTAAGTTGTAGTCCCAAAGGATACAAATATCGGGCCCCCCACCCCTCGATTCTGAAACTCTCTTATGTTAGATGAAAATTAATTTGAAGACAATTTCTATTTAAGTTGTTAACACTAAACCTATAATACGAGATCAAACGATCGGATCTTGTAATTTATTAGGAATGTAAGTAAAATTAATTTATCATAATTAAACAAATCTTAGAATGTATTTGAATTATTTTATATGGTTATATCACACACATACAATAAAATTATTAACCCTTTGAGTGCTGAATATTTTTATATATAACTGAAGTTATTTCTACGAATAAAATAGTTTATTATTAATGTATAATCAGATAATAATTACAATTTTTGTTTCTCACAATATTATTTTCATTTGATAAGATACAACAAAAATATTACATTATTTTAAATTCACATTGATAAACACGCGTATCAATTTTTACCAAACGCATAGCACTCAAAGGGTTAAATAAATTTTTATTCAAAAAAAATATAATTTTCTTGTCGAATCCAAATAAGAAGATATTTTAATACATCAGGGACCTTTCGGGCCCCACGTGTAGTTCACTTTCCGTCTAATCATTATCACTGTATTACTATAACATTATTAATTATCTTATTAAAAGAAAATATAATTATATTTTCGAATGCAAATGAAAAAATAGTTTAAAACCTCGGGGACCCTTTTGGGCTTTCGGTGGACGTTTAGTTCGTTTTAATCCATCATTGTTACGAATAAAAAAACAATGAGAGAGAGAGAAAGAAAGTGAATGAGATAGAGAAAGAAAGAAAAGTGTCGTGTCGAAGTAGGTTGTAAATGTGCGAGCAGAGATGTCCTATTGCGATTGGTGTAAAAAGGAAAAGCGTAGGTAGAAAAGAAAAAGAAAAAGAAAAAAGAAAAGAAGGAAGGTCCTTCGAGAAGGAAGCTTGCGCGTCTCCGAGAGACGATGATTGCACGGATCAGAGTAAGGAAAAAGGACGTAGGACGAAAGGGTGTTTTCGGACCTACACGAACAGATATTATTACCGACGTTCGTCCCTTACTTTTACGTTATATACTTTCTCAAATATTTCTTTACGTGTCTCTAGGTGTTCGCATATTCCTTTATATAGGTTTATATATTCTTCTACTTTTACAGAGACACATACACACATATACAAACATATATATATATAAAATCGTAAAGGAAGATGTATAAGTGTGTCTTTTTATATCAGTGTGTATATATTCCTATAAATGTGAACTCGTGTGAGCATTCTTAAAGTAAGTTGGAAAAAAGAGAGAGAGAAAGAAAAAGAAAAAGAGAAAGAGAGAATGAAAAAAATAAAAATGTGACTTGATGGAACGGTGGGACGAAGATTACCCACTTTTCACCGGGTGCACGTTCCTTCGTCCTCGTTATTTCACGAACGCGAATTACTTCTCCTTCTACCCCCACCTCCTCTTTCTCTTCCAACTACCCCCTAACACTCTTCTTCCTCGATGAAAATGGAGAAA